TATTTGAAGTCAGTATGTGGCATCTGGGCGAAGTCACAACAGTTGCTTCATATCATGAACTCAGTAAACTCGTATCTCATCTAAGCAAACATCAACATCAGCGCGATTATTTTAGCAAATAAATGAAGATGAGATACAATCTTCATAACGCAGACGACTGACTCTGGGCATTTTTATAAGGCGTATATTTGTTATTGTTATGGGGTACCATCATATCACAAAAAATAAAGCCATACATCAACAATGGAAGTAGAAGTTATAAAAATAAAATAAAGAAATTAAAAGAAAAGAAAACTAGTGATAATAAATTCTAAAGAGCGTATCTTTGTACATATGAATATAAAGTCTTTTGAGTGTCATTGTTCTGTATTCAAACAGAGAGCACAGTGGGGGCCTGAGAGTTAATATAAATATTTTAATCTCTGATATCTCTTACGCTACTAACGACACTTTACATCCATAGTGGCCTTGTGTGGTTAGTCTAAAATTTTGAATCAACTCGGAGACTCCATTCAAAATTTACAAAATATTGACACTTTGCGGATGATGTACCACAAGTCGAACCGCATGGTGGATTTAGTTATAATATATCCATCTTATACTGTCAACTGTTAAGGCTAACACAGGTGTTTTTATCAGTTCTTATACGACATGTCCAGCATCTTAGCAAAGAGCAAAGACGATACGATACAAATCAACAGTACTATCATTTACAGGAGAACCAACTTAACCTCAAGTAGTTCCTTCATTTTGGTACTGTAAAAAACTTTTCATAAGATACTAACGGTTCTACAAATTGGATATCAAACCGAATGTATGACGATAGTCAGAATATATGAAACTCTTTAAGTTAACTTCTGACACAAGTCAGCTGTTAAAGTCGGAAAGGACCTCTCGGAGCCTTTCAATACCGAACAAGGATTCTGTCAAGGTGACAGTTTGTCGTGTGACATGTTTAACATCCTGCTGGAAAAGGTCATACTAGATGCAAAGGTGAACAGAAATACCACTGTGTACACCAATCAGCACATGTTACTTGCCTACGCCGATGACAGCCAAGAGAACGCGCAAGGCGTCAAATATACACGGCCAACTGTGAAACTTGAAAACTACAGCTTTGTGGAAATCAAAAATTGCAAATACCTCGATATGGGAACAAATGACATTAGTTTTGAGATTCGAAGTAGGATCAGATGCTACTATGGTAGCATCTTAGGAACAAGGCCACCTTTCAAAAGACTACACTCTACAAGACGCTGATATCACCCATGCTGATGTATGGATCTGAAGAATGACTACTTGCACAAGCAGATGAGGCAGCTATTAGAGTCTTAGAGAGAAAGATATACGGGCCGATCTGAGTCGAAGGTGAATATTTCCGTTGAATGAACCACAAGTTGTACCGACTATTCTCGGAGATCGACATAGCTGCAGCGACTACGGTTGCTAGGACATGTTGTGAGAATGCATGAGCCAACTGATGGTTCACGCAGAAGGGAAGGCCATGAGCTCGATTAAAAGATCAAGTGGAAAATTTCGAAACATGGAATTTCAAATTGAAAGAGCTGCGCACAAGACCGACGCGTCTGGTAATCTTTTTTTAAGCTCGGCTTATGGAACAAATTTTCTGTCTAGTGCCAGATAAGTAAGTAATGTAGGTTAGCTTAAAAGATGTTCAGCTACCGGTTAGCAGTTGCTTTCACTCGTAGACCTTTAGTCCATTATGCTCATCGTAAGTATCTAAAAGGAGAAGTCAGAAGAAGAAAAAATGAAATGGAATATATAAAGAGATTATATGTTATGTTTTATCACGACAGACTTTTGGTATTTTTATGAGATCTATTCCATCTGCAAAGTAGGCGCCTCATTCTCACATAAGCGACGATAATCTACTCTATTAATGTCCCAATTGGATGTGAGTGTTCCAATTCTTTATTAGTGACCCGTTTGATCTTTACAGTACATTTGAATTCCTATGTAACAGCAATGAGGTAGTTATACGTCGTGAAATCTCAGTCCAGATCGAGATTTTGAAGTACTACACCTAGGCAATCTGCTACCGGCTTTCTCGCAGTAGATCTTACGGATGTCGCCAATGTATTGAACATAGGTCGTCTTACGGATCCCTAAATCTGCAAATCAGATGACTGTGAATCTCCTCGAACGCGCACCTCAGTCATTTGGTTTCCATTTATTTCAATATGTCATGGAAGATGAAAAAACACTAACAATTCGTCGTAAGCCAGCTTTTGAATTTATCGTACTCGGCCTATCGCTTTAAGATCCGTGTGGCTATCGACATTTATATTAACCGATCCGAGGTTGTTTGCATTAAGTTGTTTCGTGATTTCTGCCTGAAAGTGCGATAAGTTTATATGAATTGATTATGGCCGATTCTTCATAATAAAAACCTGCACCAGTACCTTCTTCCATCTTGGAACCATACGAATATATGTATTAAGGATGTCATGTTCGAGAAGTGAATCCGTCTAGGTTTCACTATGTTCTTTCTGAAGCCAAACCAGTGTGTTGCCACAAGACATTGTTGATAATGATCTCTGGTGGTACGGACCGTGGTGGCTTCGTGAAACTTCCGATTAATATCCAGAGTTTATTCATTCAACAGAAACAGACGTGGAGCGAAGGTGTGTTCGTGTTTATTTTTTCATTTCAATTCAACGGACGTTTGGAAGCAATTCATCATATCAACAAGCGTTTAGGTATTTTCCTATGTGTATTAATTCATTCATCGCACTCATCCAAGGTGCCGTTCTTTCTTTTTTCGAGATTCTCAACCTCTCTGCAGTTCGGATATGACCGGAGGTCGTAAGATTCTTGTCAAATAGTATCAAAAGTTCCATTATATGTAGGAGTACAGCACTTAAAAAAAAACTGTTTCTTCACCCAGTTCGCTTCTAAGCTAGAATACATTCCTTTTTGCAGATGATCTGATCCGTTTTTTGGGACGGTTAGTTTCGTCAGCTGGCATTCTATGAGATTAAAGGTGTCCTGTAATACTTCCATACAGTTGCATTTTCTCTAGGTTTTATGTTCAATTTGTTCATCGGACCACAATTCATGGCGGTAATAAAAACGTTTTTCATATGATATGATCTTAATATTGAATACCCAAGGCAAAGAACACGATCAAGGAAGACATTGAGGATTGCAAAACTGGTGTTCTTTACAAAAATCCATTGTTGGAAGCAGAACAGTTCTTTCTTGTTCATTTTCCCGTATCGGTCTTGATTTGAAGAGTTATTGCGGAAGTGGTTGACATCTCACGAAAGGGTACCTGTGCTTATTCGTGTATTTTACCGTAAAGACAATTCATTTGGAACTTACTTCAGATCTGTCGACACCAAAGTTCCTAACAGCCTTCCATAGATACGTTTCTAGAAGAGGGTTATTTATAATCTGACAATGGTACGACCTTTGTAGGGGCGTCCAAAGTTCTTGCTAGAGAACGCATTCAAGTTTCGCATTCGGCTTTGATCTCGCAATATTCTCTTCCGAACCTGAACTGTGGGGTTGCCTCTGGGGGCCGGAGTCAAAATCTTTAAAACGTAATCAAAAATAGAGAGACTAATAAAAGGTCTGGTCTGGTCTCCAGGACCATATGGAATAATGTCAGATATGCTGGAACACGTAGCTATACAGCAACTAGCCCATCTTACCGACCTTGTTCGGTAACATTTCCAGTTTTAAATATCTTGCCAGACCTTTTATTAGTCTCTCTCTTTTATTCGTCGGTTCGAAGACTATGATAATGTGCTTGTTGTACATCGACATCGAAGTCGGTACAACCGCGGAAATGAGTTGATGATAAAAAGTCCAGAGTCTCTTTGCGGAAGTTAGCCCCGTGTTATCATTTCGTTTAATACTATATATGTATTTGGCGTTCTTATATATAACTTTATGAAATTTGACCACTTCGTTAACTCCTTCAAATGACTTTCAAAGCATACCCAGACCTAAGTTAAGCCTTCTGGATTTCACTTTTGTTCCATATAACCGTCCCAATCAGAATTGACTTTAGTTTTACTGGCTTTGATATGTGATTTACTTGAACCTTTCCTCAATGCTGCAATTTCCTTAGATCACTACAATCCTATAGCATCCTGTTTTCTCAAAGTCCTCAGTCGATTTGAGGTCATATTGACCAACGGGTGAAGATGCTGTTTTAGCAGTGAACTTATCCCTTTTCGTCTTCCGAGAATTCGTACAAGGCGTTTGCTTTACTTTAGAGGTAGGTATCTGGAAGAATGTCATCCTTCGACCCGAAAAGGAGCATTTTCCCGATACCCTCATTCTTATTTTGTCCTGCAATAAAAACGGCGTACACCTAAATTGGCCCCACTGTGCAATAATTGTGAGAATTTTTTTACAATTAAAGAATGTAAGAACATGTAGAATGTCACATCCCAAATCATGCTCCAGTATTGCTAGTGTTGTTGTTGTAGGCAAACTGAAAATGATAAAGATTAGCTGATCGTATTCAACAGCTACTTAATAAAAAAATATATATCTATCTTTTGAAATGGGCACTTTTAGCTAAACATCACGTCGCTCACTTACAATCGCATTTTGCTCTGGATTGAAAAGTACTGGCAGTTGACGAATGTAGCTGCTACGAAACGGAACTCTTCTTTGGTCGGTATTAGCTGTAACGCCATCTTACCACAGCCATAAGAAGGCTATTTATCAAACTCAATTAAAGGCCGTGCTACAACAACCAGCAACTAGACTAATTGTCTTTAATTAGACAGTAACGAAAGCAACAACAACGAAAAAAAAATAAAATACGACTAATTGTCGTAGATAAAAAATCATAAAGTGCGGGTGAAGAACAATAAAAGAACCGATACGAAACGTCATCGTATGTCATCGCTGAATGCGTCGTAGTTCATTCAATCGCATGTAAATGCACTGTGTCATTTCCTATGTAAGAAGAAGAAGAAGAATTTGAAATTACTGCTGCAGAGTAAATAAGCAAAATGGCCTCCTCTTCGGGTAGTCCACAAATGCATCGTTCAATTTCAATGCCCGTCCAACCCCAACCTTTACCAATGAAAACCATGCAACGTTCTCAGGAAAAAGAAACTCTCTACGAGGAGGATTATTATCCGGAAAGTCCGGCTTGTGAACGTCGTGTTAAGTCACGAATGTTGGTTGACGATCGCTTGGGTTGTCACAGTCAAAGTGATAAGTAAGTATTTCTTTCCCCTTTAGTAATTATTTTATATGGGCAAGGGGAGTAATAAGTCCCGCAACTATTTCGAATATGGATTATTGAGAGAATGTCTCAAAAGCAATACAAAGTTTCTCTAAAACCGAAATAATCGATTTTCACTGCTCAGGAGAGTTTTTTTTTTAATAAAATATACATAAACGAGCATCCTGTAGTGGAACTCATGATGGACGCGACCAAAAATGATGACTTAATATGGCAGATTATAGAAGTAGATGTCAGATGGAGAACATAAATTTTAAAGATGATAGCCAGATGAAATACGTATGAAATGAGGATCTGAGGATGGCAAAGATTCCAGATGTTTCTGGTAAAAGTTGTAATCTTTATACATCAATGATATGAGTTCACAATGTTTCTAGTCTCCCTCGTTAATCAAGAGAATATTCCACAAAATATAATTCTGAAAAAATATTAATTAAAAAACCCACGATATCTGCAAAAAATCCTCGTTATATTTGATAAAAAAAATAGACAACAAAATTTGATGTCAAAACTAAACACTATATAACTTTTTAGTCCAGAGCCATTTTAACTACTCATTGAACTATGCATATAAGAAACAAGCTCACTTAAAGCCACTGCAACGATCCCACATCAAGGCATTTGAAATTTTTTCAATATATACATATATATATATATAGCACTTCTCCGATTTTATCGACATTTTCCACGACAGGCCTACCTGTGCGAGGTGCATCTTTAACATGAAAAATTCCTGAACGGAATCTACGAAACCAAAATTGCACATAAATCGCTGTTTCAGTATCGGAACCATAAACACCATTCACAATTTTAGCCGCTTGGCTTCCATTTTCTCCGTTGTCAAAGAAAAACTGTAAAATGTTCCAAATTTTCTCTTTGTTCACTTACATTTTTAACACCCTGTAACCCACAACTGATGTTTTGCATATTAAAAAAATAATTTTTATTTCAATTCAAGTATTCTTTTTTAGGTTCTAGTTATGTGATCAGTATTTAATTCAGATATATGCATAGACATAAGAGCGTGAGCTTTGCATTTGATTTTTCAGATCCTTTTTTACCCGACGTGGGGTGAAAAACTTCTTTCAGCTAATGCTGTGGTTACCGATATCGTTTTTAAAAATTTGTAACAATATATTTATATTTGAAAATTGATTTTCGTCACAAACTACAATCGCATCAAGTGGATTAGATGGTCGGGGATCATTCGCTTTCCACATATTGATCCACAGATCCACTTTTAGACATTTTTCATAAAATTGTATGATCTCTTTGAAATCTTTAAATTAAAATTGTATAATTCTCGATGATGTTTTAACTATTTTTTTCATTTTCCAATAATCTGCTTGTCATATTTACAATTAGTTCGTCCAAACATGGGACAAATAATGTAGTTCTATAAAAATACTCGGAGTTCGAACTCATTACATTTGACCTCTACTTTTGCGTACCAACCCCTCTTGGCATTGAAACTTTAAGGTTTTATTTGCTTCTCGAAATATTTTACATAAATCTAAAAATTTTCAAGAAAATTAGCAAATGTCCAAAATTGTATAATCCGAATTTCTCGAATCTTCGAAACTGTATTTAAACTTAATTCTAAAATGTGAAAAGAACAATGAATGTATACTGCAGAAGGGAATTTTGATTTAGTAATGGCCTGCACTCCATTATAATTTACTGACATGTCAGACGGGCCGTCATAGCATTCCCCTCTCAAAAATGTTGGATCCAACCCCAATCTGATTACTGTGTTTATTATGACGGTCAAAAAATCGTTACCTGTTAATCCTTCTAATTCTACGTAGCAAAGGAAACATTCTTCGACGTTTTTAGATACATATCCGCTAAAACCGAAAAAAATACAGCACTTTTCACTGGACGGTGAAGCATTCAATAGAATCTTTCCAATTTTTAAGAGGGTGCGATAGAAATAATTTTGAGAATTGGTGGTTGCACTTTCCACGCCCTCCATTATTTAAAAATTATATGCCGACATCACAAAAAACAACTTTTGATAAATATGAATATGCGACAAAGAAACCCGTGAGCCGGACCGGGTATAATTATAATGAAAAGAGCACCGAGCCGGGTCGGGACAGGTATAATTAAAATGAAAAACGGGCCTGGCCGGGCTGGATATAATTAAAATGAAAAACCACTCAATTCGAACACTTTTGCACGTATAAGAAAAAAATAAAATAATAAGCGAATATCCTAACAAAAAAACTAAAGGAACAGATGAGGATCAGTGGCTTGATCCGAAACTATAGTCTTCTCTGCCTTAACCCTTGGCGAACAATGCCATACATTCCCCACTAATAAAGAGTTGTCTTTTTTTATAAAAACAACAAACTGGGATTCAGCCTGCAAAAACAAAATACCAATGGTATCCCAAATAAACCGCCAACACTACTGATTTTTTATATTTTATCCACCATCTATGCTCTTTTTTGCACTTTTAGTGTGGTTTGGCATATTCTCCACCAATGAATGTTCATTATGATTTCATCTGGGATTTTGTTACATTCCACTTGTCATAACTCCCCATTATAACTCCGGAATTATTGAAGTTCATGAGAAAAATGAATTAGGTTTGGATTTATTGATCTTTTGTTGCAAACTTTTCATAATATTGACCTCCAAAGTTTATTTTTGTGGAAGTTGTGTCTACTTTACTGTAATAAAATGGGTAAAACAGGGTGAGACAGCCCAGGTTTTTTACGTTTTTTCTCGATTTGTGGCTTAGCCATTAATTTCACGGCCTTCGTGCCAAAGTAAAAGTAGAAGCATACACAATGAGGTGTACGTCGCTTATGTATCGTTTTTCGAAAATTTATCTGCATCTACCTTTTTATAATGCAGAAATCTTGAAGCTCGATTTTGAGTGTCTTTTTTACATTTTTCTTCTAGTTTTAATGCGCAATCACAAATTTCCAAAAAATAATATTAGAATTATTGTATCACGAATGTGAGTGAGAATGAGAGTCGAGTACGCTTATAAGGAACATCAGTTATAACGAACTTTTTTCTGCTAATCCTTGGTTTAGGCTTACCTTGAATATAACGAACTTCGTCTATAAAGAAAAAATTTACTTAGCCCCTACTAGTTCGCTGTAATCGTACTTTCTATTTTACATATTATTTCGTCATGATTTATAATACATTTTAGATGGATTGATTTCAAAAACGGAAAATATCGAACCATGTTTCATACTAGCCGATTTTAAGCCTATTTAACTCCTGACTTGGCTGTAAAATGCAATATGCATTTGTGAATGACTATGGGACCTCGTATTGCCATTTCGCTTATGAAAGATACATTCTGTTAAATATTTTGATACATCCTTGATTCTTGTATATAAGTTATAGAAATGTGGAACGGTGTTTTTGAGTTCCTTTCTAAGTTTGGCCGGCCACAATTAACGTTCTTCAACGTCAAATTTATATGTAGTTGACACACACGTTCCATATGTCGGTAATAATCAATAATTCCAGAAAAATATCTGTTATTGTGGGCTTTGCAAACTACTCTGTAATTATCTTTCATCCTCATGACTTTCAGTAATGCGGAGTGATTTCAAAGGAAATTCCAATATTTGACTCCAAAAGTTATTTCAGCTTTCAATGGGCTAATAAATTAATACCAATGCTTGTTAAGGTTTGTAACTTTGCACATATATATAGCATTTCCAGATTAAATGAAACCTTTTACAAATTAAATGAAACCTTTTCCAAATTAAATGAAACCTTTTCCAAATTAAATGAAACCTTTTCCAAATTAAATGAAACCTTTTCCAAATAAAATGAAACCTTTTCCAATTGGAATGAAACCTTTTACAAACAGAATGAAACCTTTTACAAATAGAATGAAACTTTTTCCAAATTAAATGAAACCTTTATGAAACCTTTAATTTTAAACCAATATTTGAAAATTAAATCAAAGAATATTAACAAATATAATTGTATGTACATAGCCATATTAACATAAATATTCTTTAATTCGGTGTGATTTCATTTAATATCTTTACTACATAAAACTAAATAAATAGTAATACAAACTGGGGTATTTCTTGACATTTTAATAAATAAATATTTAAGAACAAGAATTGAATACCCGGTCCTAAATGCGAAATACATATTTGACTTAATAAATTGTTGATGATAAGGTAACTGCTTATCTTAATGAAGGGGTTCCCGACTTGCAGTCTTGTGAGATTTTCAAAACCATGTCCATAACGTAGTTAGAACAATCTTGCTGAGTAAGCTTTTGAATACTTCGCTCGATTACATCAACAATGTTATGTTCCATTGAAACGTCACACAGCTCTGCTCTTGCACATAATTTTATTTTTGAAAATGCATTTTCAATTGGATTTAGCATTGGAGAATAAAGCGGTAAGAATTTAAGGTTGCATCTTTTGGATTCGATCAAATTTTTTATGTCATGTCGCTTGTGTATTTGAGCGTTATTTTCCAACTCTGGATTGATTTTCTCAAAAAAAAAAAAAAAAAATCTATAAATAATTTAAATCTGTCTGCATTGACACTAAAATTAGAAACGATTGTGTGATGTACAACTCCCGCGTTGTTTATTGCTGCAATTATAGTGACATTACGACCTCTGACCGTAGGCAACACAATGTGTGCTCTTGTTCCTTGTCTTGAACGGGCTTGGGTTCTTCGTATGTGAAGATTAAATCCACACTCATCAATGAATAATATTTTTTCTCCTTGTTGGGGTATCCATTTTGTGAAGTCTTGAGCATATTTTTGTCTCAAGCCTAATGTTCTGGAGTCATTCATTCGTTCTATTTCAATAGAGGCCATCTTCAACGTAATCTGTGGATCATTTCAATAAATGACATGAAATTTCGCAAAGTATACATAGATTGGAAGATAAACTTCAGCACTGCATGGAAACCGCATGCGCTTTTGAGGATTACACGATTTAGGCGCAATTTAAAATGTATATTTCATAATATAGTTTTATTTTAAGATTTATTCTTATTTATAGAACCCCAAGATTTTTCGGAAGGGTCTTCCTATAATCCACAAGGTGTATACTTATACACAAGACATGTTTATATATATATATATATGTCCATTTTTCAGTGAAATTCGGGTAAAATAAAGTATTTCTTGTAACAAATTCAATATACCAAATTACAGCCAATTGAAATGTTTCCGAGTTCTCTTAAATACCGAATGGACCCATCCTGATCATTTTTATACTATAATTTAATACCAAACATTCTAGGAGTAGTAGCAAAGTATGTGAGAAATGTCAAAGCTCCTCCTTAAATATTGTGAAATTTGTAATGGTTTCAGCAGGCGAGCATGACCTATAGTTTTATTCTACCATTTCCAACATGACGGGGTGGCTATATCGTGATTATATAAGACTGACATGTTAGCAGGCGAAACGTTCAGTATCTTCGTTATCCTCAAAAGAAGATCGTGACGTTTTTTAAATTGCAAAGAAAAATTCAATCGAATACAGCACATGTAAGCTATCGTTTCATCTGAAATGTGTCGATGTGGAAAATAGCAGTTATACCACGTGCTAAAATTGTTTTTGATCCAGATTTGAGCGAAATGGATCCTCTAATATTTTTTAATGTTCTTCCAATTTTTTAAACCTGCAGGAGACTTTTATTAATCGAAAATGTTTTCAATTCTCCCCTAAGGATATCTCCACGTTTGTGATAGACACATAAAAATGATTTTAAAAAATCACGCATATTATAGACTACAAACATAATTTTTTATTTAATTCACGCTTTTGATAGAGGGACAAGAATATATTTTTATAAAAATTCACTCTTGCGTTAGACCTTCGCTAGCGTTATGTTCCTAATCATAATATTCAAAATTAGATTTTCAAGTTTATTAAAATCGACATTGTTTACAGTATTCTTACAGCTGACTGGGCTGGGAGCACCATAGAACTAAACACTGATCTGCGAAGGAATGGTAAGTGATATAAATTTTAAACAAATAAAAAACAGATATTAAACAGTTACCTCCCTTCACTAGAAATCGATACATTCTATAATCCGCCCAAACCCTATAGGGTTATAGAGAAAAATGGACGTGAAAATGTTATATTCAAGAGGCTACCAGAGAAATCATGGCGTTATATACGGGATTTTGTAACAACCTTGGTAAGAATGTTGATACCAAAGAGATTTCTAACAAATACATCGACATTCGAATCATCATCATGTTCATCAGCCGATCACAATAATGACTCCAACATGATCAACAGCACCACGACCACTGTAAATAAACATCAAGATTGCGAGACTCATCATCAACATCATGAATGTGAAGATATGGTGGCGAAGGAAGAAGATGAATTGGCAACAACAAGTGATTGTAAATTTTTAGAAAATATTGAGGATTCAGAAAACTCAGCAGAACAGGGTTCTAGAAGGGTTACATTTTCATTGTACGATTAGTTAAAAGAGGAGCTAAAAAATTTCCAATGTGATTCTGAATGATATTATTTTAACAAAATGATAATAATGGCTTAAAGGAACGATTCGGAACTGTACTGTAGAGTAACACAAAGAGAATAGCAATGACACCGTTTTTTATTTATAGTTATAGATTAATTAAAGATATAGAAGGTTAAAATACCTAGAACTAATTGATAATTATAACTGATTGAACCCGTATATGTCTACATACATATATGTCTAAAATGTTTTTTCACGTTTTTGTTTTTATTTTTTGTTTTATGTCCATAATAAAAACTTTGTCCTGTTGAAAAAAAATCGAAAACAATTTCATTTTACTAATATGTATGACAAGTCACCTACAATGTTCACCCCTCCATCTTATGTTACTCTATATCACGTTGAGGTATAAAATTGTATCACTCCCTCTTTAGATTGAATTAGATTGGAAATATATGCTGGCCATGTTTATCGGCAGCTATTTCCTCAGTTGGTTTGTTTTTGCCCTTCTAAGTTATATGGTTGCCTATTCACATGGTGATCTAATGTTCGATGAGGTGACCGGTGAACGTTTGGGCGAAGGCAAGGATCCCTGTATTATTGGCGTCTATGATTTCACCTCAACTTTTATATATTCCATGGAGACACAGACCACCATTGGTTATGGTGAAAAATATCCCAGTGAAGAGTGTCCGGAGACAATGTTTCTATTTATAATGCAAATTGTTTGTTCCATAGCCATTGAGGGTGCAATGGTTAGCATCATATATGCGAAGACAGCGAGACCGGCGAAACAAATAACCAAAATGAAATTTAGCAATAAAGCTGTGGTAAGTTTTGGGAGATAAAAAAATGTATCGAGTAATGGTCTTATTATTTCATTTCCTTTCTTCCAGATCTGTTATCGTGATGGTAAACTTTGTTTATTGTTTCGGGTCTGTGATCCACGAGAGCAGCATAGCATTGAAACGAAGATACGAGTTTATATGATCATCGATAGGCCGTAAGTATACACCAAATTTCCCAAGAGGGGAAAAAAGTTCCTTGCAGTAAATTGTTTATATAGTTCCAATGTTTGACGATGTAGATGTCGTTATTCCTAGTAGAGACGACTGGAACCGAAGTAACCCTCCTCTGTACAGTCTGGCCTTCTATACAGACGGATCCAAGATGGAAGAAGGTACAGGGGCGGGCGTTTACTGTGAAAGGATAGGCCTTGAGTTAACCTACAAGCTGGATTGCAACTGTAGTGTTTTCCAAGCTGAAATCTGCAATGAAGGCAATAGAATTGATAAAAAGTCTGGATGTAGAGGTCGTTGAGCCGGTGATTATTTTCGTGGATAGTCAATCGGCTCTTAAAACCATCAAATCCTGTTATATCAAATCTGAGTGTAGAACAGCTTTGGAAGAACTTACAGCTATCGGCTGTGTTGGGTACCAGGACACCGTGACATCATGGGTAATAAAAGAGTGGACAAATTAGCTAGACGAGGATCTCAATCCAGAGATCTAGCAATTGATGACTCAAACTACCCATATGTCATCTTTATCGGAACTTTGAGGCGTTCTTCGACGAAAGAGCCTATGAACTTTGGCACAACGAACCTAGTGCAATGTATCAAGATCTATTTGGCCGACTCTGTCTACCAAAAGGACACACTCACTGTTGTTGTTGTAGCAGGCCTATTGTTTTTACACACTCACTGTTGAACCTGAGCAAAGCTGAAATAAGAGTAATGGCAGGAATCATTACTGGCCATTGTAATATCAGGGCATTTACTAGTAAATGTTGATGCAATTGATTACTGTAGGCTCTGCGTTGACGAGGAGGAGACGGAGACAATTGAGCATCTCCTGTGTCACTGTCCAGTCCTGGCTTACAGGCGGCACAGAGTAGTGGGTGCTCATTATCCATCGAGTCATAGTTTCTTCTCAACAACAGAACCAGTTCTAATCTAGAGCATAATTAGAAACCTAAATTGGTTGGGGAAAGTGCAACCTTGACACGTAATATATCTTCTGTCCGATCTCTATAGCCATCGATACTATTTCAAACCAACCTTCTTACATTTTCTTGTAAACTTCTCATCTCTCTCTATCCCCACTTCTTTTCTCCCCTTTAGATCTTTCCATATCTCTTTCATTTCGTGGATGATGACTGCACATACCTAAACCTAACCTAGTTCCAAGTCAGTATACTATGGTTATATCCCCATTTTCCAAACAATATATTTTAATGTTAGTATAGGTTTCTCAGCCGGAAACCCTACGCTTTTATCGACAAACATTACTTTATCTATGTTGTCTGGTGGTTGAATTCCACATATGCCAGACGTCCACACACATAGTTGATTATCCAACATTTCAAACACTGGTCTTCTCTATATCATCAAACATCATGACATTGTGGACGGACATTTGATTGGTTAAGATATACCATTACAGTTCGCCAACACAGTATTTTCTGACTCAAGCGTGAAAATGATATCGTAGTACTATGCATTTTATGGAATTCATTCGGAAAATTAGCGCCTGAAGTGTCTTAGCTGCCGACAGAAGTGAAATCGGTCTATACGATTTACTCTGCTGGCATCCTCTGCCAGGCTTTAGTGTGGGTCAACCCTATCTACATTCCAGGCTTCGGGATCTTTGTGGTTGGCTCGACTCCGGATTCCCTCAGTGGCTTAATCATGGATAATGACTTGGCGCACTTAATGATAGTTCTACCTTCGTAAATTGTGGTCAGATCTGTCACACACACAATTAAATGTGGCAGCCATCGTCCGTCTCGTTTGTGCTCGCAAGACAAGCCTCTTGGCTTCAAGAGTAAGTTCTGTCACTCTTGTGTCTTCAGGGACCGTACGACGAAGTTCGTCACTTTACTTCGGGTATTCCAACGCCAATTTTACGTTGACGAATGTCTGATTCAGATTCTTACAGTACTCTTGCATATCTTACAATGCCTATCGAAGGAGATACCCTTACGGGAGCATTAAACATACAGTCCAAATGACTTATAACGACAACCAGTGAAATTGGTTGCCATAGCCAAAATTTTCGTCGTTATAACCGAAATGTCCTTAAAATTTATTTTTTTCAAGACGATATTCTAATTCTATATCCCTTGTCTTTTTTTCCTCAAACAGCACCAAAGAAGGAGAACTCATTAAAACCCACACGGAATTAGAATTGGAAAATAATGGACAACAAATGATTGTCTGGCCGGATACAGTTTGTCATGTTATCGATGAGAATTCACCGCTGCGACATTTCAAATGTGCCAAGGATTTGGTAAATGCCCAATTTGAATTATATATTAGCATTGTGGGTGTATCACCGGCCACGGCACAAGTGACCGAAGCTCGTACCTCATATATACCACGGGAAATATTTTGGGGTCAACGTTTTGTTAATATTATCAAATATGATGCCCAAAATGAACGTTACGAAGTGGATTATAGTAATTTCAATACAACAATATCGGTAAGAACTATAGAATATTTAATTATTGAAATTTGTTAAATGTTGCTTTTTTATTATAGGTTGATATGACGAATATTCACGACGCCATAAAGAGTGGCAAACAAGAATAGAACGATGTGGGCTGTAGGGTGGAGTGAGCATTCGATTTTTAATGGCATTCCTATTGATTTATTTTATTTGTTATATATTAAACATTGTTATATTTCACTAGCACATTAAATAAAAATAAAAACACTTCATATTTAGTACAATTTTAAGAAGTATATTTTTTCAGCACTTTATTAACAATATAAAAAATCAAATTAATAAGACCTAAGATTAATGAAAATGAATAAAAAAGAATGATTTGGGAAATATTTAAAAAAAATTAATAAATAAGATAGATTAAGAGATAACGGAACAACAAATCAAATTGAAAACTAAAAATCTTCATCCATTAACACCTACTCATTTCTATTTGACTGCTGTAATAGCTGCAATTTCAACATTTCATTTTCTTCCTTGAGGCGTAAAAATTCATTAACAAAAGGATCGGTTTGTAGCAGAACACCCAAGCAATCTCGTATCTCCTCAATTTCTTCGGAACGTTGATTCCATAAATTAAAATTCTGAGTGAAGATTTGCCATTTATTTGTTTCGTTTTGTAATTTTATTTCAAATTCCAATTGACTGAAACGTTCCAGCATTTCATTGCGTAAATCGTTGACAGCTTGCTGTACACTCATCGAATCATTGATACTAAGCGGTGTGGTTGCTTGCTTCCGATTGGCTGGTCCCACCGTCGAAGTTAACAATGGGCGATTGGATGCTGTTAAAATACCGTCCATTGAATTACGATTGGGCGTGCTGTTGAAATTCGCCGGCAATGCCTTTAGTCGTGATTGTGGCATAAATTGCAAATCAGTTTGGGGATTCTCCTTATCCGATTCTCCCTCAACGGAAGATTCATGACTTGAGGATTCTTGATTTCCTTTTTCTTCTTCCTTTATTTGTGACAATTTCCCAGCAAGTGGTGATATTGGTGACTTACTTTGATCTCTAAGGGGGGCTTTAAGAAAATCAGATGTATTGACGCGAGCATCGAAGGAGTCACTTGGTGTGATGGAAATATTAGGAACTCCACTGCCAGCAATTCCACCAATTTTACCAATCAAAGATAAACGACTTTCATCGGAGGTGGGTTTACGCGACAATGCCTCCCAATCAAAACTATCACGACGTGGTACAAAACGCGGTGACATTTTCTCTTGGCCACGATTTGCATGGAAATCTAGAAAATCACAAAACGAATCACGATGTGAACGTGTATTCTCAGCAGCATTGGGGGCCACAGACTTATTGGCAGTTCCCCCCGTTGCTATTCCCGAAGTTTCTCCAACACTGGAACTAGAGAAACTTTGTCCCGAATTATCACCTGGCATTGGCACGAAAGCAACTCTGGTGACTCCCCCATCATGTATCTTCTTCGATGATAAATATGCCTTGGTATTTCTCAAATCGTATGTTGTAAGTTCCCCCTTTAAATTACCCACACACATATAATTGCCACATTCACTTGCCGCCACAGTGGACAATGGATGACAATAGGCCAGCTGTAAGGGTTTAACTTTACGCCGTGTATCAAAAATATTTATAACACAATCATAGCCAACACTTATTAGAGTATCAGGACTTGCGGGAGACATACACAAGTCACGGCACTGTGCCCCATGAGCATCGGCGGCATGAAAAACTTTACGTTTAGTGTGAACATCGTAAATTGTAACGGCACCTTTATACGAAGCAATGGATAATTGAAAACGTTTGGTGGGATGGAAACGAGCCAATGTGGAACTGTGGGGTGAAAAATGGAACAAAATAATCAAGAAGGGAAGTAAGAAAATAGAGAGTATGTGAGATATATCTAAATCGTCGTCGTTATCAGATTCACTCTGAGACGTTGTGGATAAAGAAATATCTGCATCAATTTGAATAAAATTTGTTTCTTATGGAAACATTTCAAAATTAAAAAATTTTAAACTTGCCATTGGATTGATGAAAGTTATCGCCTCATACATTGGAGGAAGTTCCATAAGAAAAACCATCAATATACTAAGAGCCCACGTTCATTGTGAAGCCACAGTGACATGCCGTAGGGTGGGTTGCTCTCACCTCTCTTACGACTTCTAATAAACGAATAACTTATAAATGTTGACCAATTTTGAAATTATGTGGCTTAGTTCATAAAAAGTGGCTAATAAGTGGTAAATAGCCAAGTCACTCCATACAATCCTTTATCTCTAATGCATAAATGAATGAATAAAATGAACGTTCAGTTAGAGGTCTCATAAAAATCTAGATTTGTTGTGTTACGCCCCATTGTGACTTAGTAATTTATACAATTCCATCGTCAATTTATAGAACATTCAACTTCCCACAATATAACAGAACCTGCTTTTGGACTAAACAACAGTAAGAATTTCGGACACGTACTCAAACGAAATACCACCACTTAAAGGACCTTAGGTCTGTTGAAATCACGATAGATATAGCAGTATTTAAGATAGAGCTCTTAAATTTGGCACAGACATTGCTAGCCCCCATATATCGATACCCTCCAATATTCGGTATTTTGGGGATTTTTAAGACGTTTTCCAACCGAATTTGTTGTAATTTGCTTGTTGTTGTAACACTTTATATGAATATAGTTTTCCTGTTTAAATTCAATCTGGTTCTGTCTCCAAGTTATGAAATACAGCTGCTTCCACTGGCTGCAACCACAGATCTTCAGGAGTAAGACGAGTATATTTGGCCGGGCAATTGAATAAGTGCAGTGTGGTATGAGGGTATGTACCAAATGCTGGGCAGACATTCCATCCTGAACGTAATTGGTCCAAAACTACTCTGGTTGGTCTGGTCAGCTGACGTTCTTCAGCGGCTATGGGTGGATATGAGCTCTGAGGACGGCATTCATTTAGTATCCATCAGGTATCAGGGCTGCGACAACTGCATCAGTATGGATGCTATTCAGACCAGCTCGATAGACAAATTGATCTATATGCTCCCTTTTATAATGTTGAACCGTTCTTTCTAGAACATGCAGAACCTCCCTGACACGCCTGGGTGGAGGAGTCTTATCCACCATGTGATGGTTGGGATGATTGTCCCTGAAGCACCCGAGCAGGTACTGCAACGAAAGCATATTGCTATGCTGACGTAAGGGAAGGATCTTCGTCTCCTTATGAAGATGGTCCACTGGTGTCAAGAGGAGGCACCCTGTCGCAGTCCACAGAGCGGCGTTCTGGGCTTTTGGGCTCTCATTGTATTGCATATTTCCGCACTAAAAAAATTGATATTGACCCAGGTTTCAGGGTAGCCCCCATATAATGGTAACCCCAATATGGTAATTTTTGACCCGTTTTTCACTCTCCGTTTTATTATAGCCCCATATAACGCTAGACCCATTATTAGATATTTTTGAGAATTTCAGTCGTCTTTTATCATGTATAATATTCTCATTCTATCATAACATGAGTTTTCTCTATGGATCCCCCATTAATTTTAGATATTTTGATTGTCATGGTCATGGTGTTCGGCCTGACCGAATTTAACATCTTTCTTACTTGCTTATCTTAAAATAGTTAACTGATCACCGTTTAGTGGTTGTCTCCATATATATGGAATTCTAAGACGATTTAGCTATATGCTGTAATCATTCTACCTGTTGAGGATATTTAGATAAAAAACTGGAACATCAAGTTCGAAAATGAACTATATCGGGCTGTATTTAGGCCTAACCCCATATAATGATACCTACCGATTTTCGGTATTTTTAATATTTAGCATGAATGAGGGAATTTTGATACAAAACGTAAATTCTATGTTTGAATTTGAGCTATGTATTTTGATATTAAAAATCCCTTTTACAATAATCGCTTGGTAAATTGTGGGCTTAAATGCACTTTACTTACACCTCTCAGATCATTTTGAAATTACAATAGGAAGCCAATCTGATGCTGATTACACCAACATAAATTTCCCCCGGGGGAAATACTTCAATACTTCCCGAAATATGGGGTTCCAAAGTTCAAAAAATATCCCCAATTTTATAAAATATTATTAACACTAGAAAGACGGGAATTTTGTATATACCTATATTGCCTAAAATCGGTAAAAATGACCTCATTCTGAAAGAATTTTTATTGTGTAATGAACATGTTTTTAACTAATTTTTTAATATTTTTTACATTATTTGCAATCATACAAAACGTTATTTGTTTTCGGTGGTGGGGCTAACGAGTTTCCCCTTTTGAAAAATAAGAGCGCGGACAAAATGTTCGAAGAAGAGGAAGTCTTTACTCTAAGTGTGAAATCGACAGGAAATATAAAATTTATTTTTCCCGATTTGTATGTTCGTTTTTGTTTCTAGAGTAGCAAACGGGTTTCGATGCTGTTGTACTGATCTGGTCATATAAGAAATTTAATTTATACAATAATAAAAGTAGTTTAATTATTTAATATTTCGCAAAAAGTCAAAATGACCGTTTTTAGGCAATATAGGTATGGCACATGTGAATACGGGGAATGAAAGAGGGGAGGAAGCAGATACTATGATAAATAAACGTAGTTCTATGTGGTACAAAAAGTCACCAAATTTTAAAAAACTGGGTCATAATATACACAATTTTTTTTTTTTTGTACTTGAAATTGAAAAACGGTCAAAATGACTGCCTTCGGAAATCTTGTGTTAAGAATACTGATGACAATCTTTTTAATTTCTTTGGGGAGAACTTCGTAGTTCCAAAAATATGTGGTTCCGAAATTAAAAAAAAATAATTATCTGTTTGCCTTAAGGTTTGCCAAAATCCGGCTTGTCAGAAATAATAAAATTAAAAGAAAATTCTGCTGGTGTATCTTAATTTTCCACCTGTCCATAGGAGAAAGACTTAAAATCGCGCCCGAAGCCCGACTACTTAAAAAATAATAATTTCACTTTACCCGGTCAATTTATGAGAACAACAAATTCTTTGAACAATTAAGGATTTTGATTTAGTATAATTCCTTTGTACTTACTTGCTATCAATGTTAAAAGAATCAATTTTGGTTTTAGTCCTTTGGCCATATATATTAATCAATCCATTTTCAAACACTGAGGCTATATACTCATCAGAGGCATTGTAGTCCAAATACAAGACAGAGTTGCGATTGGAATCTATAATAAACAAATATGGAGTTCTCGTCATTATTTCGAAATTTTAACACTCAAAATGTGGTAAATCTTTCCAAATTTATAAAGGTCAACGTTTATAATTTTATGAACATATTCACATTTGACATACTCACCAGCACTAAATTTATGCACAAATTCCGACTTGTGATAATTATAAAGTTTCACCTGACCATTTGATAAGCCGACAGCCATTTCCTCCATTGATTGTTTGGCACAGGCCACACAATAGACATTGTCGATGGTTAACTTGCGGACACGCTGCAAATCGATCTCTACACGAGAAAAGCATAATAAATAAATCATTTATCTCGACCCATCACCTTACTTACTTGGCGCCCTCTCCTTGACGCGCATTATTTCCAACCCGGATTTTTTATTCACTTCCACAAAGATTCTTTGTTGGGCATAAAATTGAAAATCTGTATTTTCACCATTGGAATGTTGATAGGTGGATTTATTCTCCAAATTATTAAAATCCGTGAGGATCGTGGTTTTTGCCGTCGACACCAGATACATATTCGCCATGATGTGTATTTCTGCAATTTGTAATTACAATAAAAATTCTCTAATTATATGGGGGTTTGTTTTCCAATAAATGGCGAAATTATTTCAAATTTTTCTAATTAGACGCCAAAATGTATAGGGTACAATAAATCGATAACGATATGCCGTAATCGATTAGTTAATCTACGACATATAGAAGTTAAATAACCAGGCCACACATCAATCAATGTAATCGAAGAGAGGGTACAGTTACGAAATCCCTTTTAAACGTTAACCAACTGGGTTAACGAAATCCGGTTAAATTTAAACGCACTATAATAAAACACGTCTTTTAGAATGTCAATTCATTCGTTTATAGGTCTGTTCCCATTGCCTATAAATAAGGTCACCAAGGGAGATCAGCTCATTATCGATACCTCTCAAGTTTGCTGTCAAAATGCATTATTGTGAATTTACTTCCATTATAAAAACGTAAACAAAGTCGAAATTTTTGACAGTAGACTTGAGAAAAAACAGCTGTTTTCCGATTTCGATTGCTATCTTGGTGACCTTATTAATAGATCTTGTCTGTTCCCGTACTGCGATAACGAGTTTTCCTCTATGATATCGAAGAAAATAGTAAAATCGAGTAGATTCTTGCAGTACGGGAACAGACCATATATTTGACAAAGATGAATCTGTATAAACTTGTGGTGAATTAGTTCGAAAGCATTTTCTTTCTTTCAGATCCTGCTAGAGTACATTAGAACTCTTTTACTGGGTTAATCTACTCTATGAGGATTTATTTGACATACATGCAATGGAATTGATAATTTGTACCCACCGGGTTAACAAAACAAACGTGCTACATATTACTGTGTTATGAATGAAACCACGATCCAATAATAAGATCATCCGATATGGCTAAATGATTTCACCCGAGCTGTCAAAATGCTTTAAATGTTGACTTAATTGTGTGAAAACGTAAACAATAAATTTGACAGTTTGGGGATTTTAATCCAAAATTGTCGATAACGATTGCTTCTGACTTTTCTTTCAAAATTATATCAAGATAGGACCCATCTTTCCACTCCTTCTAATACCTCCCCCATAAAGAGTCAACGTTTTGAAAACTTGTAAATATGAAATGAAGCGAACGGAATATCCATATTCATCGCAACATTGCAATTCGTAATGTATTTACCTTACATAGATTAAGTTCTATGATGGGGCCCAGAGGTCCTCTCCTTCTTATACCTACCACAAAGTTTCATTTTGAACGTTTATTAATTCAGTAAAAAGCTAACAGAATAACCGATTTGTTCCAATCTTTGCAAATCGTAATACTTTTATCAAACCTATATTAAGGTCGAAAATGGGACCTCCCCACAAGGGGTCAACATTTTGGAAATTTGTTAACAAATATCAAGCTAATGGAATGTGCGATGTGTCCTTTTGATTTTACACGATGGTGCACTCCTTTGCTGAAATATCAAACGTATTCGATTTTAACTAAACTTTGCACAAACTAATTATTGATCTGCTACCTCTCCACGGATGGTCAACTATTTAATAAAATCATATAACTTACGACTGACACTTTTTATTATTATTATTATTTATTTATTCATTTCAAAGCCAAGCCAAAAAGCCTTATATGGCCAGTATACTACAAAATAAACTTAGACCAAATTAAAAATATAAATTTTAAACACTAGTATTTCTTTTCATGTTACATTTGTTCAAGCTCCATAAATATTCATTAAAAGTAATAGAAAAAAATCATTTGAATAAGAACTACTCTGAATTGATTTACAAAAACATTAAAGTAAAATATTAAGTAATTACAGAAATTTATCTTCAGTATTTAACTACTCAAAATAAACAAATTAAATTGTATGAAAATAACTCAAAATGGCCAAAAAATAAAGGATAGATTTAGAAGGAAATTATTATTATTATTTTTTATTATTAATCAATACAATATTGAATTTAATTAATATATTTAATATATGGCTAAAACCAGGGAAAAGCAAAAAAGGCTTAATTGTAGGCTTTTATTCAAGCGATTGAAGATATTGTAAGAGTTTATTGCGATATGAGTATTGGGATAAATTGAACGTTCGCAAAAAAAGTGGTAATGAATTATATACCCTAGCAACCCTAGTGCAATATGAACGTTCCAAAATTGGAGTTAATTGTGGAAAAATAAGTTGGGGATTTCTTGTGGACCTAGAGAAATTAAAAAAATTCACAAGAAATTGTGGACACTGTATTTTAATAATCTTATAAAAATGAATTATAATTCGTAGATTTATAAATTGACGAAAATTGCAACCCAAAAATTGTATTACATAATTTGAAACATGTTGTCTGATATTCAAACCATATATGTATCTTATCACTCTATTAAAAACGAGGCGTATTTTCTTCATAAATGTCCCGATGGTTCCTGAATATATTTCCACACAATAAATTAAAATTGGCATTATAAGCGCATGTGCAATCTTTAATCTAATACTAAGAGGCAAATTCAATTCCACATTATATAGTTTTCTCAGAACAAAATTAATCTTTGATATTAAAGAGTTAATATGATCTTCAAAGTTAAGATGCCTGTCAATAGTTAAACCCAGACATTTTATACTGTCAAAAAATTCAATATCAATGTAATCAAATTTGATTAATATGTAAACGTGGACCAATATTTAACAATTGTGAAAGACTTTATGCAAATTTTTGCATTACGTAATCGTGCGGAAATGTGCTCCAAATCCTTAACATTACAAAAATCGCGATATAGCTCATATACGAACATGGCCTGACTGCAAACAAAACATACTATTGGCAACAAGTTGTTCCGTTAACTAAGAACGCAAAATATGTACAGAATATCAGATTTTCTTCCAAAAATGAATTGAGAATACAATTTAAAAATTTCTTTGGTAAAGATATTACAGAACAATTTTCATAAAAAATTTAGAACATTTATTAATAGAATTCATGTACGGAATTAGCGCTGAAATAAGTTAGCCGTTTGTGAAGGCTTCGAAGACGTTGCTTTTCATCTAATCTGTTAAAAAAAGGTTTAACTTGTGGTTATATATTTTCGTGCAGAGTTTACTGGTCAAATACATAACGTACATGAACAAATTACTTATTTTAATATTTCAACAACATTTTATTTAAACAATAAAAAACTAAAATATGAACAAAATCGTTTAGCTACGTTACTAAAATTACATATTTATTTTCCTTCTTTCTTGTTGTCAGATTCATTGGCTTCTTGAAGGAGAAGTGATTCAATGCCAACCTTTTTCAGTTCTTCGATGAGGTCGCCACTTTGATGCATTTGTAGAAGAATATCGCAGCCTCCAACAAATTCACCATTGATGAAAACTTGTGGAATTGTGGGCCATTCCGAGAATTCCTTAATTTCTGTAATGGAAAGTAATATTTGTTAGTTAAATCACACTTCAGCAAATTAAATAATATGCGAATCAACATAATATAATTTTATCATTGATCATCACAAATACATCCTTAATTCCAAATGGAATTACATTTTTTTTTCGATAGACCATATATCCGAAGATATAGGCCTCCAAAGTTCCGCTGGCACCTTCTATTTTCTCATGCCTCTAAAAATTATCCAAGGCAATATACATAGGTAACAATTGAAAGCACTGATTACAAAAATATAAATATCACACATCGAAGTTTTCCATACCTCCCGATGTATGGGTCTCCAAAGTTGGGTAAGTACTTTTCAATATAGTTCTTTTGTTTTATTATATCGTTGTAATCAGGGTTATCTGTGGTAAAAATGATCAAAATGATCTGCAACCGGGTCAATAGACTTGAACCAACAAAAATCACAACTTATTCCATTGTGTAAAAGCAATAGGACTGCTACAACAACAACAACTTACTCTCTCTTAGTTCATCGCTTTGCAAAACATCGTGGGCATCGTATTGTACACCATGCATACGTAGGATCTGCACCACAGCATTACTGAAACCACAACGAGGTGCCTCGGGATTGCCTTTCATAAACACGACAACTTTATTGGTGTTCACCAACTTTTGCAGCACTTCTTTGGTAAAGGTTTGAGGTGCTTCCGCCGAGAAGAATCTATGTGATTGGGTAAGGGCAACAGGTAAACGTTGTGTGAAGTTGGTTCTGAATACTTGTCTTATGAGTCCAGCCATTTTTATTTGAAATTAAAAAGTTTACAATTTGAACCGGAATATATTTATTTTGCACGACAAATTCCAATTCCCTCAACACGTAACCAGAGACCTGCGCCGATCAAATTTGTCGGCGGCTTATGTTAAAAAATGTCGGCGGCGGCTTAAAGCCGGCTGTGAGCCGATGTCAAGGCATAAAATTATTTCGTTTTTGAAAATCAAAAATAAATACAAATTCATATTATATCACATCAATTATAATAATAAATTAAATATATACATAAACCAGTAAGGAAAGTAGTAAAGTCGGACGGGGCCGACTATATGATACCCTTCACCACTTTGGGCATATTCAACAGATGAATTCTAACAGACGTCGCATTTTTAAAGGACCATAAAATTAAACTGGATCCATAAACATGTCATTCTGCAACCGATATTAAATTTTTCATTTGGTCAGATATAGAAGCTATATCTAAATCTGAACCGATTTCATATTTAACACACATCACTCTAGACCTAATTCCTTACGCCGTGCCAAATTTCGTGCAAATCGAAAGATATATATAGGGACTTTGGTACACAATTTATCTTAAATTGGACGAAAATATATATATATATATATATATAAATCTGAACCGATTTTCATGAAACTTAGCACACATTATTATAGACGCAATTCAGTACGCTATGCTAAATTTCGTGCAAATCGAAAGATACATAGGGTCTTTGATGCACCAATTACCTTAAATCGGATGAAAATATATATAGGAGCTATATATAAATCTAAACCGATTTTAATGAAACTTTGCACACATCATTCTAGACCTTATTCATTACGCTGTGCCAAATTTCGTGCAAATCGAAAGACATATAGGGACTTTAGTTAACTATTTACCTAAAATTGGGCGAAACTATAAATGGGATCTATATCTAAATATGAACCGATTTTCATGAAACTTTGCATACATCATTCTAGACCTTATTCGTTTTGCTGTGCCAAATTTCGTGCAAATCGAAATATATATAGGGACTTTGGTACACCATTTACCTAAATCGGACGAAAATATATATGGGAGCTATATCTAAATCTGAACCGAATTTCAATAGGGTTCGTCCTTGGGCCAAACAAAAAAGCTGTTCCAAATTTCATCCAATTCGAAACATAAATGCGACCTGTACTTTGTTTACAATTTAATTTGGACAGACGGACGGAGGGACGAACATGCATAAATCGACTCAGAAAGTGATTCTATGCATATTCTCAAAAGGAACCATTTTTGCCTGTTACAAACATATGCACAAAGACATAATACCCTGTACCACAGTGTGATGATGGGTATACAATCTTGGTTCAATATATTAAATACAATATATTATATATTAAATATAATTGTTTAAATTTATTTTTGTTTATGATTATAATTAAATAATTATATTAATTATAAAAACAGTATTTTTGCACATTTTTTTGTTATAACGAACATGAAACGGCGGCTGTATTTAAGCCGATTGAAGCCGAACAAAATTTCGGCGGCGGCTTTTGAATTTTATCGGCGGCTCGGCTCAGCCGGCTGTGAGCCGATCGGCGCAGGTCTCTGCACGTAACTTTTGAACTAGGGATATATAAATCGACTTTCGACTAATCGATTAATCGACTTTTTATATTGAAAGGTCTAAAAGTCATAGCATGATGCAATAATAAGGTGATATATCAAAACGTTTTAGGGCTAAGCAGAATGTTGGCGTTGAACCATCCGTCGCGCTACATTAACGATTATCGTTTATCTCTGGTTGTTGTATTTGCAGATTTCTTGCAGTACCGGAAAGAATAACCCCAACTCTATTTTAAAAAGAAAACGTTAAACCGCATAAATATTACAACTTTTTACCGGGTTAACCTACTTTATGATGATTTATTTGACATATATGCAAAGGAATTGACAACTGAAACCCACTGGGTTAACCAAAGCCGGTTAAATGTAAACGTACTATTACATTCCATTCATTTTTCGCATTTTGGAAAAATTTGAAAAATATGTCAAAAAAACGGAACACTTGTTGCTTTTGTTTTCATTTATTCTGACATTATTTTCCATAAGGTAGAGGTGTATTTTCTCCTTTTTGACAAAAGCTACCCTACCTCTTATAATTGTACCATGCTTGCAATGTTCCAGAACCTGTGAGAGGTTTGCCATGTTGTTGTGAGATGACGCAAGAGTGTATCTATGAACTTAAAGCTTAAATCTTTTATGACGATTAAGCACTATTCGCCTTGATATTCATGGCACAATCGGTAATATTGTCCAAATAGGATACATTCTATAATGTATGCACACATGGCTTTAAAAACTGTTTATTCGTTAGGCTGGTGTCAATTAATGCAAATAAATAAAAAAATATGATCGAGATTCTTGAAATATGATTATAAAAGGCTAAGCAGAATGCTCGCGTTGAGCCATCCGGCGCGTTATATGTTATCGAAAATACAACAACCACAAGGAAACGATAACACAAACGCTTGAAGTTGATGTGCGCTGCCGTTCGAAGTTAAATATATTTTAACTTTTTGCGTGCGTTAACGCGATAACAAAAAACGCTCAACGCGAATATTCTGTTTAGCTCTTAAGATCGTTACAGATGTCGAATCGGAAACGAACATTTCATATTATTCCTTTAATACGTTTACATTTAACCGGATTTCGTTAAACCAGTGGGTTTCAATTTTCCTTCTCATATATGTCATATAAATCCTCATAAAGTAGGTTAACACGGTAAAAAGTTCTAATGTATATGCCGTTTTACTCGAAGGAATTCATAACGATTCCCTAATTTTTCAAATTTTTGGTTGGATAAAACGACATGTACATTAGAACTATTTACAGGGGTTAATCTTCTTTATGAGGATTTATTTGACATATATTCAAAGGAATTGACAATTGAAACCCACAGGGTTAACGAAATCCGTTTAAATGTAAACGTACTATAAAGGTCAAATAATTTTTTGTTTATATGGCAAACAATTTGTTGTTTATATTTATATTATTTGTCGGAAGAAACCACTACATACAGAATTATTTTTTGATGATTAATTTATGACATTCTACCTTGTATTTTTGTACTATACTTGCAACGATGGTATAATAATAGAAGTTGGGTATATTTCTGGCCATCATCGACTCGCCTATGACATTTGTATATTTGCTTCCACGGTGGAAATGGTCTTGATTCCCTTTTCACATCTGCATCGGTAGGTACAGCTGCTAAATTACTACCATCCCGACGGGATTTCAAATAATTTAATTAGGATGTATATTTATACCCTTGACCAACTTATATGTATACGTTAGGATAATGTTTTATACCGGTAGAATAGCTATCAATGGCTCCTGTTGATACGCCCACATGGATCAGACAATACGTTGGACTTAGTCTTTTTTTAAGTCAAATTTATTAATTTTCTAACTTTTCCTCGCTCTCATTTTTTTGTTAAAAAATGGAATTACAAGAAAAAGCTTAATTATAAAAGGAACACTTGAATTATTTGGAGAAGCTATAACGTGGATAATTTGTCTTTCTTTTTTCTCGCAAAGATTTTAATTTTAATATTGGCCTGGAGTTTTTTTGCCGACAGAAAAAAAAAATGATCGGATTAAATATATAATAGTGTTTTTAATTTACTTAACCATCAAATTTGCTCGTGTGACCACTGACTTTATGCCATGTACAGACGAGCGTTGTTCGCTCTCTCATTCGTTGTTCGACCCTTAATTATGAAGGAATTACTTAGTTCCCCATACAAAATTGTCTGAGCGAACACCGACTTTTGTACGTTGTTCAATTCGAATCACTCTCTGAATAACCAATAAATTTGTCCCATCCCTAACAATTGAGAGTATTTATCGAAAATAAATTAATTTTGACAGTTTTAAAATATTTATGAAATTTTCAAACTTTTTCAGTAAAATTGAAAATCATGAATGAAAAGTAAAAAATTGTATAGTTTTTATATATGCAGCAGGATGTAAATGTTGTTTTCTACATAATGCAATATGCATTTCTTTTCCCTTGGTTCTAATTAGCGTACAAAACAAGAAACAAATGTGGGGCAACTCAAACAAAAAATTCTCCAAATTTTTATTTGTGACAGTATGTGACATTTGAATTGAAAAAATATAAAAATGTATTAAAAACAACAACATTTTCAGAAAAAATGGAAAACATGAATGAAAAGTAAATAGATATGGGTTCATACTATAGTCAGGAGAAAGAGAATTATTTTTTCTATTTAGATCCCTATGTAATTCACTAAAATATGTTACATTTTTGGTGTAAAACAAGAAACAAAAAGTTTGAAATAAAAAACTCTGATGATATGAATTATGAATAGTGTTGTATGAACGGGTTAATTCATGTACGTAATTCTGAGAGCGAACTACGTTGTTCGGATGCCCGTCAGAACATGGCATTAGGATTCTTGCTAGTTCTGGAACATATAATATTAATTTGACTTGTTGAAACGTATGGTAATATCTTCATTTCACATTGAACAAACCCATTTGCAACGTTGCCAGATCAATTGAAACAAACAAATACTAAACGATTACTCTGATTTCTCTTGTTGGCACATCTGTTTTATCGTTATCGCTATCGTACAAAATTCCAATTCGAATCGAAATGGATTTTGCCATCACAGTAACTTCGTGGAATGTGTGAATTATTGGGGAAAAAAGTAATAAAAAAAGTTATTAACAATAAAATTAAATGTATTTTTTCTTCATTGGGAACAAAGACAACAAAATTCCAATTAAAAAAAGTTGCAATTTAGATATTCTTGAAATGTTTGTGTGGTGAATTTGTCGAAGTGTAGTCCATGAAAACTGTGTGTGTGTTTTTAACGAAACTAGGTGGAAAACAAAAAAGAAAAGAAAATTGCAACACCATCAGTCGCTGACAAAAAAAAAAGAAAAATCCAATATTCCCCAAATACACAATCAAACGAAAAATAAATAGAAATAAAA